ACCCCTCTCCACCCCAACCTTTATTCATATTCTTAAAAAAAAGTCTCCACTTTAAACCCTTAAAATACAGAACACCTCTCTGCAGACTTTGTGACCCCTTCTCACCAGCAACTGGACAGGAACCAGATCAGTGGCTGTCAGACTTTTTTCTCCGGGCCACACTCTCAGAATAAATATATGCTTGCACCACACCACAATTTTTATTGATAAGCAATACACTGGAAAACACAACTAAGATTGTCCTCAGTATCACTTGATTCCCTTGCTTTCATTTTGAAAAGCTATCTACCCATACTCTGCAAATAATTTTTTTTATATATACAATATTATAATATACTACACTGAAATGTTTAAATGACCTTGAATCTTCCCACCACCCTTGCCATCCTCTCCTGCCACACCCTTTGAGAATCATTGAACCAGATGGCACACCCCTGGCACAGAACTTGGATTAGTTACTTTACAGTTGGGATGGGGTGTGTGTGGAGGCTGCTGAACAAAAATGACTAGAAGGACATCACATAAGCAAAGCAAGTGTGTGAGTAGTCCTCTTCCTCCCTCCCCATACCATATTTCACAATGCAACTGCCACTGAAATCCATGCCTTAAAAACCAAGCCCACAATGTAATAAGATACAGATGTGGAACTCTTGTTTTGTTAAGATCTTGTACTGCTGTGCCTTCTGTCACCCCAGCGGCACATCTCAGAATACACATACTAGCGTCTGTGAAGAACACGGAACTATTCTAGCAATTTAACAGTTGATGGCACAAAACAGAGATCAACTTGAATATTCCCACTTTCTGCTGAACAATACAGCCAAAACGATTCCAAGTGCTGCAGATATTATGCTCCTCTTAGAACTTTCCACCCTCCCTCCACCTCTAGGCTAGAAACAATACTGGGAAACTAGACAAAAACCCACACTCACCTTCTTCTTAGGCAGAAGAACCAGATGCACAAATATAGGATGGGGGACACTTGGCTTACTAGCAGTACATGTGAAAAGAGTCTAGGGGTCTTGGTGGACCACAAGCTTAACATGAGTCAACAGTGTGATGCAGCAGCAAAAAAAAAAAAAAAAGCTAATGCTATTCTAGGCTGCATCAACTGAAATAATAGTGTTCAGATCAAGGGAAGTAATAGTATTGCTCTATTCTGCCTTGGTCAGAGCACACCTGGAATACTGTGTCCAATTCTGGGCACCACAATTTAAGAAGGATGTTGACAAGCTGGAACGTGCGCAGAGGAGGGCAACCAAGATGATCAAGGGTCTGGAAACTAAGCCTTATGAGGAACGCTTCAAGGAGCTGGATATGTTTAGCCTGGAAAAGAGGAGATTGAGAGGAGATATGATAGGCATCTTCAAATATCTTAAGGGCTATCATATGGAGGAGGGAACATGCTGGTTTTCTCCGGCTCTAGAGGGTAGGACTCGAACAGAGGGTAGGACTCGAACAGATGGCGTCAAATTGCAATAAAGAAGATTCTGACTAAACATTTGGGGAAACTTTCTGACAATAAGAGGTGTTCAGCAGTGGAACAGATACCCACGAGAAGTAGTGGACTCTCCTTCCCTGGAGGCTTTTAAGCAGAGGTTGGATGGCCATCTGTCATGGATGCTTTAGCTGAGATTCCTGCACTGCAGGAGGTTGGACTAGATGACCCTTGAGGTCCCTTCCAACTCAAAGATTCTATGATTCTACAAATATATGACATTGTGCTTCTCCCCCGAATGCCAAGCGGATTGTGTGTGCTTTCTTGTTTCTAGTACAGTCCAACCTCGGTTGTCAAACATAATCTGTTCCGGAAGTCTGTTTGGCTTCCGAAATGTTTGACAACCAAGGTGCAGCTTCTGATTGGCTGCAGGAGCTTCCTGCACTCAAGTGGAAGCTGCGTCGGACATTTGACTTCCGAAAAATGTTCGAAAACCAGAACTTACTTCTGGGTCTTTGGCGTTTGGGAACTGAAATGTTCCAAAACGTTTAGGAACCGGGGTTTGACTGTATTACACTTCCCAATGTTTGTACTAAAAACAAAAGAGACATGCAATTTCCTAAATACATTTGTAAACGAGTTCAGGGATTGATGGAAATAGCTGAATGAATCCGCGGTGTGCAAATTTAAGCACAAAATGTCTCTTGGGCTGGATTCAGATGGGGGGGCGGGTTGTTGCATTGTTGCATTGGCTTGACTGATTATATTGTTCCTCTTACATGGCAGTACCTGTTGCATTATGGAACTGTGTATTTTTTTGCTTGATACACCACTATGTCACACAAAATTTTACATGGTGGGGGGAAACTGCATGCCAGGGTTATGCCCACCCCCAGATTTTGACAAACAAGCAGTAGCGGAATAAAAACTGTCAAAAGATTACAGTGCACACAAGTACCGCTCCTCCGCCCCCTGCAAATTTTTGAGGCTGCAAATGGATATTTTCTGGAAACAACATGAAAACTAGTGTTAAACTTCTGCTAGGTTCCACTTCTGCTTTACTCCAGGAGATGATTACCATTTTTGCCCGGCTGAAGGTAGGAGGAGTTGGCAGGTACCACGAGGACATCCAATGACACGCAAAGAGCCCAAGATAGGAGGGATGGGTGATTGACACAAGGCGAAGTTCGGATAAATAGGGGCTGCTTTCTCAGGGCAACAACATTAGTAATATCTGAAAGGTTAATTGTGCAAGCCAGTCCTGACAATGATAATGGAGCAGGCAACAAATGATACACTTGATCTCCACAAGGACTGGTTCCATGGCAGGTCCTGGGCTAAGCATCTTTACTATGAAGCAAATGGCCGCTATACATATAATGTCTCCTGTTATCTCCTACACCAGAGCATTCCAGACTTTTCATGTTGGTGACATACTTTTTAGACATGCATCATTTTGCAACACAGTAATTCAGTTTCACTAGCAAACCAGAGGTTAAACTAACTCCCTTTCCAGCGCCAGGAGGAGTGCAAGGAGTGTTCACGTGACACCTACACACAGCAGCCAACACACTAATGTGTTGCGACACACCGTTGGGAAAGTTCTGCCCTACACCTTCCATTGATAGTTCATTTGCTCTGGCAAATTATGTACCTCATTTGCATGCTTGCGAAGAAAACTTTACTTGCCAAGTGCTGTGGTTGGGCGGCTTTAATAAAGCTATTATAGGCTTTATGTAGTTTGCTGACAGCTGTTTTGCATCATGTAACACACCGCCACAAAACTCTTAGGGCAACATGATTTGGAGGCACCCACCCAAGGGTCCATCTAGACCACAAAATCCAATGCACACCCTTCCTTTAACTAATGATTACACACAGAGAGAAAGAGACAGACACACACACAGAGAGAGAGAATTAATCAGTATGATTCTCTTGAGTAGAAAAGTCCTGCTTGTACCGTGGCCCCTCGGGTTACGTTACCTTTGAGTAACGTAACTTTCGGGTTGCGAACGCGGTTTCAGCGCGCTCTATTGCACTGCGCATGTGCGCAGAAACGGCGCCTCATGTTGCAGACTTTTTGGGGTACGTATGGACCCCCAGAACGAATTAAGTTCGTAGCCGGAGGGTCCACTATACAAGGCTTTGCTTTGAGATTCAAGGTAGGATTGCCATACGTCTGGATTTTTCTGGACATTACCAGGATTTCAAAGGTGGGGGAATTTCTGAAAGGCAGCACTTTATCCTGGATCTTAGGCAAGTAAATCTAAAAAATGCCCTTTTTTTGGCATTTTTGTAAAAAAGAAGTGGTTTTTCCTTTTTGAAATATGGCAACCCTAATTCAAGGCAGAATGGCAGAATCACCCTAATGAAACACGAAGATGAAAATGAGAATGACAGTTACTTTTTCTCATACATTTTTATCCTGTACTTGCTTCACAGAAATGAAGGAAGCATACTGTACAATCTTCTTCCCACAATCATTTCTTCCTCAACAGTCCTGTGAGGTAGATTCGACCAAAATATAGTGACTGGCCAAATGTCACCTAGTCCAATAGTCTAGCTCAGCCTTTCTCAACCTTGGGTTCCTAGATGTTGTTGGACTACAACCCCCATCATGTCTAGCTAGCAGGGATCTAGGCTAGTGGTTAGGGATGATGGGATCTGTAGTCCAACATCTGGGCACACAAGGTTGAGAAAGGCTGAGCCAGACCATTGGATATTCACACTGGATCAGGATATATTATGGAAAGCAATCAGCACAGTTGGGCACAGAAGCTAGGATGCACAGTCTCTCCTCTAAGTAGCATAAACTGAAAGCACACCCAACTCTGCTCTACATGCTGCTTTCGTCTAAGACTCTTAACTCAGAGTCTTAACCTTGGAAGATGGCCCTATGCAGAATACTAGGGAAAGACACATTTGTTCAGTTCATGGCAAGCCAGTTTTAGATGAGAAACTCACATATGCCACAGGCGTTTTTAGATTGTGTACACCAGTTTAATACAACAAGCATCAGCCTTCAAGGATTTCAGTTTAAAGAGCCAGGCTCAACATTTCAGATATAGTTTCATGGAATTATAGAATCGCAGAGTTGGAAGGAACCACGATGGTCATCTAGTCCAATCTCCTGCTGATTAGAGCACAAATTCCATGCAACAATTGTGGTAACTGGCCAAATTAGTACCGAAACCACAAATGCTTTGCATATTGAAGTTCATCTGGAAAGGGCAAAAAGCTCTCTCTCTTTTTACATTTGTCAGAAGAGTGGGAAATAAGATGTTCACAGATGCACAACGAGAAGAAGACCACCCATTAAGATGAGGTTATCCTAGTCCACTGGTCTTCTAAGGGGACACAGTGTTGGCTCTCCTTTACATCCAGCTGCTTCTACAGATGTCAAACAAAGCTCTTTCATTAATATAGTCTGCAGCCAAAAAAGCAAGGATGGAAGAAATGAGGGTGCCCAAACTAGAGTCTCCAATAAGAAAAATGTAAGAAGAAGAGTTGGCACAAGACCTTTCAGCACTATGCACAGCCATCAAGAAAGCAGACAAACTTTGCAACTATCAGCTCAGTTGGTTAGAGCGTGGTGCTGATAATGCCAAGGTTGCAGGTTTGATCTCTGTATGGGAAAGTTGCATATTCCTCGGGATCCCTTCCAACTCCACAATTCTATCATTCTATGATCACAAAGACCACACATGAGAAAGAGAGACGGGGTGGATGTCTGAGGAGCTGAGGTCCAATTTACCCCAAACACCTCAGTAACAGTAGGAGTTTCATATGGATTCTCCTGTTTTACCTGCTCTTTCATGAACCAATATCACACATCACACAAAGCCCCAAACATCTCAGGACCAAGTTACTTAAAAGACCTCCTGCCCCTGTATAGACCTGTCAGGTCACTTAGATTGCCCCAGGAAATTTTACTCATGCTACCACACCCTACAGAATGCCATAGGGTGGTGACCTGGAAACGGGCATTTTCTGCAGTCACCCCCACTATACTGTAGAAAGCCTTTCCCTCTGCCTTCTACATGAAGCAGCAACCAACCATTGCTCCACACATCATGCAAATCTATCTTTTTGCCGAGGTTTTCCCTGATCCACGAAAATCAAACTCAGAATTCTCTGGATACCTGTTTTTATATGCTGCTTTACTGTTTTCGTGTTGTGTTTTTGTTTTAATTCTTTACTGCTTTATGCTGCGATATTTTTTTAAAACAAAATGTTAAGTGGTTTATAAATATAAATAAATAAATAAAACATACTTATTTATGCCTGTTGCTCGGTCCCTGCTCCTGCCAACCTAGCAGTTTGAAAGCACGTCAAAGAGCAAGTAGATAAATAGGTACCGCTCCAGCGGGAAGGTAAACGGCGTTTCTGTGCGCTGCTCTGGTTCACCAGAAGCGGCTTAGTCATGCTGGCCACATGACCCAGAAGCTGTACGCCGGCTCCCTCGGCCAGTAAAGCGAGATGAGTGGCGCAACCCCAGAGTCGGTCACAACTGGACCTAATGGTCAGGGGTCCCTTTACCTTTATTACTGTTATCGTGTTGTATTTTTGTTTTAATTCTTTACTGCTTTATGTTGCGATTTTTTTTAAAACAAAATGTTAAGTGGTTTATAAATGTAAATAAATAAATAAAACATACTTATTTTGACTGCTGTGGATGCAGAAGGTTCCCCATTGCCACCAATGTGTCCATCCCAACCTGTTCAGGCACAGAACTGAATTTAGAAGCCACCACTGCCAGCATCTAAGAAGGGCAATTTCTAATACAGTGGTGCCTCGCAAGACGAAATTAATTCGTTCCGCGAGTTTTGTCGTCTTGCGATTTTTTTCGTCTTGCAAAGCACGGTGTCGGGAAAGTTTTGGAAAAGCTTCAAAAATACCAAAGTCTTTAAAAACCTCAAAAAAGGCTACCACACCGCGTTCTATGAGTTGCTCCTCGAAGTCAAGTCGCAACTGTATTAACGGTGTTAAGAAAAAGGAAACAAACGTTTCCGTCTTGCGAAGCAAGCCCATAGGGAAAATCGTCTTGCGAAGCAGCTCAAAAACCGCAAAACCCTTTCGTCTAGCGAGTTTTTTGTCTTGCGAGGCATTCGTCTTGCGAGGTACCACTGTACCTTTGGATTTGTTTTAATACACATTCTAGATTGCCCATTAGTTGTCAAGTCAGTCATCCTGTCAGTTATTACCTGGGCTAGACACTCCAGAGTTTTACAGGTGCCAACTGTGCAATGCAAAACCACTTTGAATTCCATCCAGAATGATATTGGCTAGTAGCCAAGGGCATACGTAGAAGCATGGTGTGCAAAACACCCGACTTGCATCTCTGTCCAACAAACAGCTACATAAAGAGTGTTGTTTTGCATTATACTTGAAATAAGCTGCCGTCGTATTTCACCTCTGTAGAAAGGAAATAGCTTCACCTTATCCAGGTTGAGACACTGCCACGGCTTGCATTCATAATGAAGTCTCACATGGGAAAAGGCTCACCCCAATGCCTGTTGTGGTTATACTTCCTGTACAGGCAGCTGTGCCTTGAGATCCCCTTCCAGCTATTTCTCTGCACTTTAGGCAAGGAAAGAAGTGCCACCACAATCACTCACACTTAGGGCAGTGGTGTGTCTCATTGCCTATAGTTGGACCTGCAGCAAGAACTCAGAACGTCACTGCACTGGAGTGACAATGACATAACTGGATTATACTGGTGCCACTGGAGTAATTGCAGAAGCAAAAATGCAGAAGCACATGATCAAGGCGTTTTCTTTTTGTTACCAAAATGCTTTTGTTTCTGTTTTGCTGAGAGGCGTGAAGTTGCACATGCTGCAAGTATTTTTCATAGTCCATGAAAGCTTATGCTGTACAGTAATGAATTTGGTAAGTTTTTCAGATACCACAATACTTAATTCTGTTGTACCTTATTTCATGTGTTCCTTTGTGGGGTAAGGAGGGTTGTTTTAGGAATTGCACCAGGGCTCCAAAGAAGAAGAAGAAGAAGAGGAGGAGGAGGAGGAGGAGGAGGAGTTTGGACTTGATATCCCGCCTTTCTCTCCCCTTAAGGAGTCTCAAAGCGGCTAACATTCTCCTTTCCCTTCCTCCCCCACAACAAACACTCTGTGAGTTGAGTAGGGCTGAGAGACTTCAGAGAAGTGTGACTGGCCCAAGGTTACCCAGTAGCTGCATGTGGAGAAGCGGAGACGCGAACCCGGTTCCCCAGATTACGAGTCCACCGCTCTTAACCACTACACCATGCTGGCTCCCAGCCATCTTAATCTGAACTTGAGCCCTGGTAACAACATGGGGCAAGGAAAAGGCTGGAAAAAGGGGGGCCTTCTCAGCCTCTAGTTGCCATTAATGCTGCTAGAAAGCATTATTCAACAGATTGCCTTGTGAGACCAAAGAGGGGAGGAGGGCTGTGACATTCATGCCCTATAGTTTGACATTGAACAGGCATCAGCCTGCCATTACTGGAAACAGAATGCTGGATTAGATGGGACTTGGCCTGATCTAGAAAGGCAGTTCAGGTGGGTAACTCTTGAAATTTAAAGGAATTTGTTTTACCAACTTTGTTTCTTCCACGCTATCTGGAATACTTTGCCACTCATGGGATAACATATCAAAATACCCGCCCCCCCCAGTTAAAATTAAGATGTCAATTTGCAGAGTTGGCTAACACAGGAAAAACAAGGTTCAAACAACAAGTTTAGTAAGAAAAAGTTGGTCCTCTTTACTACTGGAATTATGTCTGGAGAACTTTGCAGCTACATGTGGACTACAACCATCAAATGCATCCGGAAGAATAATTACAGGGTGGAGTGCACTAGCAGACATTTACGGCTGCTATGAGGGATTTAATTTTTTTTTAACGCAGTGATGATGCCGCCAGGAAATGGGTTGGGGTTAAGGATGGGGAGACTGGTGAACGACACGGCAACTGTCAGGAAACTCACTTGGCCAGAACTGTGGAAAACAAGAGTAGAGAATGAAATACCATCAAGTATAGTAGAAAATACTAAAAGCCCAGTATTGGAGCTCACAAAATGGACAAACATGAGGTCTGGCTATCTAGGGCTCCACAGGCTCTCCATCCCTGCAGGTAAAGGAAGAGTCAAGGAAGAACACTTTCTGCAAGGGGGAGGAGAACTTGAAGTGCTTCTTATTAAAAGCTATGTCAGACTTTTTATGCCCTTTTCTAACTGAGCCAACTATAAGCACCAGTCCATTCATTAGCTCTGTAAAGGGAAGCATGGAGAGTCCATTCTTGGTTGGTGATGTTTTTCAATGTTCTTATGCACAATTCAGTGCCATTCCAAATTAACCATCCTTTCTATACACACTTTTTATCTCAAAATGTGCGTTTCAATGTTTTTAGACGTTCAAGCTGCTATGAACTGCACATTAAGAAAGGTGCAAAAAATAACTGGATAGCTGTTTGGATTCCCACATTAGTCCAAGAGGAGCAAGCCCTGAATTTAGGAATTCACAAAGCTCGGTGGAAAGCAAGTGCTTTTTGTACCAGAAGGGAAGGTGACGGCACAGAAATAGGCAGTCTATGAACAGCAAGACCAAAAGCATATTCTGTAGGGTAAAGGAAAACTCATCAAGATATTGCAGCTCTAGATGCTTGCAAATAATACTGTGCTGCAGTTTTTCAGATGAAGATTTTCCCTAGGCTTAGTGTTCCAAGCTATAAGCACTGCTATTTGCTTAAGATTCAGGAAGGCAAAATGCAGCACATTAAGAATTCTCCAGACAAGCAGATCATTTTAAATTGGTAGTGGTGGTAGTGGCAGATCAGGCTGTACAGAAGTTAGCTTGTGGGACAATAAAATGCAGGTTTGCAACAGGCTAGCTTTTACAAAGCAATCTTTTTGTCCCAGATTATATTTTGTGACCAGGAGCAGAAAGCGACTGCTTCAAATTAGAACAGGAGCTCTCACAGCACACATCACACACACACACACACACACATTTGTGCTGCAAATAAATATAAAGAAGGTAAAGAGACCCCTGACCATTAGGTCCAGTTGTGGCCGACTCTGGGGTTGTGGCGCTCATCTCGCTTTATTGGCCAAGGGAGCCGGCGTACAGCTTCCAGGTCATGTGGCCAGCATGACTAAGCCGCTTCTGGTCAACCAGAGCAGCGCAGGGAAACGCCATTTACCTTCCCGCCAGAGCGGTACCTATTTATCTACTTACACTTTGTGCTTTCAAACTGCTAGGTTGGCAGGAGCTGGGACCGAGCAACGGGAGTTCATCCCGTCGCGGGGATTCGAACCACCGACCTTCTGATCGGCAAGTCCTAGGCTCTGTGGTTTAACCCACAGTACAAAAAGTTTTGCATTTGAAGCAGTGCTCCAAGCCCCACTTACTTGGGAGTAAGCACCATTGAAGTCAACTGATTTTACTTCTGAATGGTTAGGACTGCACCGTTAATCAGTTTCTCATTTGACTAGTTTTTTGGAACTGTGGCTATAGGCAGGAGGCTCCTGTGTCCAGGAGGTCTGACTTGACAGACATTAATGCTTTAACATGCCTATCCAACAACTCAGCCAACAGGAAAGAGAAAATGCTTTTCATAAGATACCTGATGCAAAGCTCCCCTAAAACAGTTTCACACTACAAAAGTTTGGAGTGGAGAATAACTTCTGATATGTGTGACCCATTCACTAGCAAATATACACAATAACAGAACATGAGGGAGGGTAAAGGCAAAAAGGGCTGGTTTCTTTAACAGCATCAGTTCTGAAAGATAAACAAAGCCACACACTTAGAGAAGCAAGGTTCCTCCTTCAAGCCAGCTGCAAAACCGCAAAACTCTTCCACTAGCTACCCTGCTGATTCCCAAATGTTTCTCCATCCCCCAGGCTCCTGAGTTGTTTCAGGTCAGGAGGAGCCTATTCCCATCTATGCTCTACAGAAGAAACATATTCTCTCCATCAAAAGTCATCCAGCAAGTATCTTCGCCTAGCTCTAGAAACAGGCAACTGACCACCTGCAAACAAGTGAGTTAAAGATCAGCATGTTCTCTTTTTCAAAAAAAGGCATGATAGTGTTTCCACTACAATATTATGCATCATTATAATTATTTTCATGAACTCAAAATTTCCCCCCTTGGCTAAAAATGTTGCTGTTTCCTGAGTCATAGCCGTGGGCAGTGGCACCACCACACACAGGAATCCACCCAGATTCACAGTCGGGAAGTGGAAACTGGGCTAGGGACTCAGCATGCATATATATGGCTTTTAGCTTTGTCTATAGCTGCTGTAAAACAGCCAAGTGGGTGTCACTATGACATCATTGCTGCTTATTTACATGGTAATTTACAGGAGACAGCTTACATGAGACAAGCTCCTGGTTTTGAAGAAGGGTCTGATCCATAGCTGTCAACCGTCCCTTATTTGGTGGGAAACTCCCTTATCCCAGCGCCGTGTCCTGCTGCTGTCCCTTATTGATGATGTCCCTTAAATTTCTCGGGTTTCAAAGGAAGCAGCTCCTCTCCCTCCCTCCCTGCCGGCCAGGGAGGAGGGAGGCTCCAACTGTGTTGCTTGGCTGTCCAGTCCGCCCCCCTCCGGCCTCCTCTCACCAGCCTTGGCCCCCGGGAGCCCCTTCCCGCCGGGAGCCTCGGGCCCTTCCACTGCCATCCTCCTCGCAGCCGCCGAACTGAGCGTCTCTGCCTGGGGCCTCCCCTCTGCCCGCCGCCGCCGCTCCCACTAGGCCGTACTGCGGCTGCGCCACCGAAGGACACGGATGAGATGGGCAGCCTGGCATGGCCTATCAGTTGCTGAGGAGCCTTGAGAGGAGAGCGAGGGCAACCATAGAGAAAGCAGTTCAGAGAGAGGAGGCGGAGGCGCGGGCAGGTGTTCCAAGGGCTAACCATATTGGGGGAAAGTGGAGGAAGGACCGCAAGCGCTTCTCCCATAGATTTGTAGTGATAGACTAGCATAGATGGTCTGATCTGTGGGTTTACTTCGGGCGCTATCCCCCCCTTCCTCCCGCCCCGCCTGATGGAACTGAGAGCTGCAGATGGAGCACAAGAGAAAAGATACAGAACTGCAGCAGCATCTTCGTAGCTTGGTTTTGTGCGAAAAGTGGTTGCTGCTTGTAGTTATTTAATTGCAGTGTTTCATCAGCTGGTGTCTTGAGCAGCAACCTCTGGAAACGAAGGACTAAAAATCAGCGCTGCTCTCCCAAATTATCTGGTCCCTTTTAACTATGTACAGTGGTGCCCTGCAAGATGAATGCCTCGCAAGACGAAAAACTCGCTAGACGAAAGGGTTTTCCGTTTTTTGAGTCGTTCCGCAAGACGAATTTCCCTATGGGCTTGCTTCGCAAGACGAAACATCTTGCGAGTTCTTGCGAGTTTGTTTCCTTTTTCTTAAAGCCGCTAAGCCGTTAATAGCCGCTAAGCCGCTAATAGCCGCTAAGCCGCTAATAGCCGCTAATAGCCGCTAAGCCGCTAATAGCCGTGCTTCGCAAGACGAAAAAACCGCAAGACGAAGAGACTCGCGGAACGGATTAATTTCGTCTTGCGAGGCACCACTGTATTTCAGCTGATTGACTAAAATCCCTTATTTTGGCTGCTAATCCCTTATTTTCAAGGCTGCTGGTCCCTTATTTTCAAATCTGTACATTGACAGCTATGGTCTGATCTGGTGTGGAAACTAAACAAGGTTGTGTATGATCTTAAACAGAGCGCAAGGTGCTGGAATGACTGTTTAAACCTGAATCTTGTAGAACTTGGGTTTGACAGAAGTACTGATGATCCCTGTCTGTATTCTAAAGGGTCAGGTGATGCTTATATGATGGTGGTGGCATGTGCTGATGATTTGCTAGTGGCAGGGAGTTCCACACACAAGCCACAGGAGTTAGCAAATCAGCTGGATAAATGGTTCAAACTGAAAGCCTTAGGGCAGGTCAGTAATTACTTAGGACTGGTACAAAAAAATGCCTGATGGAAGTTTTCTATTAAGTCAAAAACAGAAAATTGTTCATTTGCTGGAGCAGTTTGGAAAGCAAGACTACAATGGTGTTCAAACTCCTAAGACAATAGATTTCCAGAAAACAGAGTGTGATGTGCTATTTGAACATCCAGACCTCTGGGATCCCACAGCTGGTTCTCCCCTGGTCTCCTCACTGGCCCAAGTGGGACTAATTTAGCCAGCTAGCCCTGGTGATCATTTAATGTTTATTGGATGGATTTCCCCCCTAAATTGATTTTTGATTTTATTGTTATTTATGCTTTATATTGTATTTTATGCTGGGGTTTTTTTTTGTAGCATCAATTAAGTGTTTTAAATTTGTTGTTAGCCGCCCTGAGCGCGGTTTCCTGAACCAGGAAGGGTGGGGTATAAATAAAAAAATATTTATTATTATTATTATTATTATTATTATTATTATTATTATCTTTCAGCCATTGGTTCTCTGCTTTACCTAAGCCCGTGGTCCAACCAGTAGTCCAAGCCTGACATTGCCTGTGTTGTAGGTATTCTGAGTCATAAAGTGGCTAAGCCTAGTTCAGCTGACTGGAATGCTGTAAAAAGAGTACTAAGGTATCTGAAAGGTATTCAAGACATGTGTTTAAGATTGTCTTCATCAGAGTCTGAAATGACACAGGTATTTGTTGACAGTGATTGGGGAAGCTGTATAACAACCTGGAAATCAAAAAGTGGGGTAGTAATAACTTTTGCTGGTTCGCTGGTTGGGTGGAAGTTCAGAAAATAAGGGTTTGCTGCAACTCCTTCATGTGAAGCTGAATTTTATGCTTTGTCCAAAGCTTGCACTGAATTAACTTGTTTCATTCAGGTTCTGAAAGACCTGGGGTGCATAATAAATTTGCCAGTCAAAAATTCGTGAAGATAATCAAGCTTGTATAGTGATGGCAAATTCAGAACTCATGACATCAAAGACAAAACATGTGGCAATTAAATTTTGTAAATGTGAGGGATCGTGTGAACTGGGGAGTCGTCAAATTAATTTACTGTGAATCACAGGAGAATCTGGCAGATTTGTTTACTAAACCATTATCTGCATCATGTCACATGGATTTAGTAGCGAAACAGAGAAGTGTAAATAAAAATACTCTTTGCAACTGTGTGCAGTCTACACCCAGAAAACTTGAAGGGGTGTCAAGGATTGTGAGTTTTATGGGTGCAGAACTTTCTCAAAACATGCTTGCAGCTGTTGTTTATCTGGTTAGTCTGTGAGTCTGTAGGACTCAAGGTCATCGCTCAGAGGTGAGTAACGTATCTCCTGCCTGCTGAGAGTTCTGTGTCTCTCTTTTTCTGTTCCCAATCTCTCCTGTCTGTTCTTTGCTTCTTTTACTGGATGTGCTCTTATTAGCTGAAGTTTTTGAACCTTACTGGGGATCCGGTAACATGCTGGACTTTGTAACCATTTTTACGCTTTTAAACTTCCGCAAACTATTACTGAAGAATTCTGCTGCCTGTGTGTGTTTTTTTTACTTTGAACTATATGCATGGGAGTTGCACTTCCAGCTCCTGTTAGGTAAAGAGTAAAGGGGCCCCTGACCATTAGGTCCAGTCGTGGCCGACTCTGGGGTTGCAGCGCTCATCTCGCTTTACTGGCTGAGGGAGCCGGCGTACAGCTTCCGGGTCATGTGGCCAGCATGACTAAGCCGCTTCTGGCGAACCAGAGCAGCGCACGCAAACGCCTTTTACCTTCCTGCTGGAGCGGTATCTATTTATCTACTTCCCTTTGATGTGCTTTCGAACTGCTAGGTTGGCAGGAGCAGGGACCGAGCAACGGGAGCTCATCCCGTCGCGGGGATTCGAACCGCCGACCTGATCGGCAAGTCCTAGGCTCTGTGGTTCAACCCACAGCACCACCTGCATCCCTTCCAGCTCCTGTTACTCTGCTGCTTTCCGTCCATGCCCTGGAGTTGCTGTGCTCAGGCATGGAGACAGGGGGTGGTGGTGACTGACCAGCCCTGTCAGGGACAGGATACCTCAACAGTTGAGCTGAGCCTGGATATTCAGAAGTAGCAGGAAGTATGTGAACTGGCCACTCAAGAAGGAACAGGGACCTAGAGAGAAGACTGAATGACTTAAAGACGACGTACCCTGGCAGGGCAGATCTGTGTCACATTAATATTTTGATAGCTGTGTTGTAAATTGCTCAGGGACCATAATCAAGGACGGGCAGTTCAGAAATTGAGTTAATAAAACAAAACAAAATAGGAGTAGCAAATGTAGCAATAATGTACAAGTTCTGTGCCAATGCTAATATTACATTCCCCAAGGATGTATCTGTTCTGGGATTATTGATTTCATAATAATAATTCAATTTATATACTGCCCTTTATCAAAAGATTCCAGGGCGGTATACAACATTAAGAACATATTTTATAATATGTTTGTATTAATAATAATACAAACATAATACAAAGCATAATAATAGACAGCATAATAAAATAATCATAATAACAGTCCGGTCCCCCCGCCTTTAACAGGCCATTGATTATTTGATGGCTGGCCTGGGTAAAGAGGAATGTTTTTGCCTGGTGCCTAAAGACATGTAATGGTCTCTCTGGGGAGACCATTCCACAGTCAGTCAGGGAGCCACCAAAGAAAAGGCCCGTTCTCGTGTTGCCACCCTCCTGACCCCTTGAGAAGGGGTGACATAGAAAAGGGCCTTAGATGACAAGGTAAAAGATTTACATGATCTGAAGAGAAAGCAGAGCGCAAGGTCTGGGTCAGTTCATATGGGGATAGGCAGTCCTTAAGGTATTGTGGTCCTGAGCCATGTTCCTCAAGTGGCCCTTCTTCTTAGATTATTCCCTTGACTGTGGTCAAAAAGTTCCTTGTGCATTTAGAGCTGGTGTATCATTACAGTGGTACCTCGGGATGCGAACGGGATCCGTTCCAGAGCCCTGTTCGCATCCTGAATAGAACATTAAGACGCGACGGCGCATCTGCGTGTGTGCGGGTCGTGTTTTGCTGCTTCCGTGCATGCGCGTGACATCATTTTGAGCGTCTGCACATGCGCGAGCGGCGAAACCCGGAAGTAACACGCTCCGTTACTTCCGGGTCACCACAGAGCTCAACCTGAAAGCGCTCAACCTGAAGCACATTCAACCCGAGGTATGACTGTACTTATTCCAAATTTAACAATGAGATTTGGAACTAAGCTTAGGATATTACTCCCCAGCCTTTAAAAAAAAGAAAATACCGTACCCAAAATTGAATCAAACAAACTCACTCCATTATGTTTGCAAAGCATGAACTTATCCTCATCTCTAGGACGTGGTCATTCCAGCTCAAGTTTGGAACAGGTCAGTGATGGAAAGAGTGGAAGGTGGCACAGGGGAGAGGCTGGAGGCCTCCTCTCCACATCTCACACCATTCTTCAGAGAAACAGAGATCTTCAGTTTCTACAGCAGCCAGTCTACTTGGCTCCTCTCTTAGTCACTTAAAAACCACCCATTGCCAAAATAAATGCTTTACTATTAATAGATGGCAAGCACTGCAGAATTTATTGAGTGCATACCTCTTCTTGCCTACTGGAAAAGGATCAAAACATCAGCCCTTTTGTCTTTATGGTAATCAGCCATGCCACCTTGAGCTGAGAGCTAGCTGGTTCCTGCAAGCACAGATGGTTCAAACTCGACCAGCAAAGATTGGCACCCATTGCAACTGCTGAGGCAGAGGGAAGGGCGACTCATGGTTGGTGAAGCCAGGGGTCACAGTAGGTGGAGCTAACTAAATATATGCCCTCCTGCAGGGCCGGATTTAGGTCTGATGAGGCCCTAAGCTACTGAAGGTAATGGGGCCCTTTATATGTCTAGCTGTCCCTTGCCAACAACAAATTGTCACTAATTTTTGTGTTGAGTACAGTCATACCTCGGGATGAATACGCTTCAGGTTGAGCATTTTCGGGTTGAGCTCTGCGGCAACCCGGAAGTAACAGAACGCGTTACTTCCGGGTTTCGCCACTCATGCATGCGCAGATGCTCAAAATGACGTCACACGCATGCGCGGAAGCGGCAAAACATGACCCATGCAGACGTGCAGACGAGTGTTACGTTCGCTTCAGCGCCAGCCCCACAAGCTCGGGGGACAGTGGGGAGGCGGAGTGCCGCCATCCCGCTGTTCCCCGACCTGGTTTGGATTCCCCGACCTGGTTTTGGGGGGGAAATAAAGGAATTTTTTTTTGCTTTATTTCCCCCCAAAAAAACTAGGTGCGCCCTATGGGCCAGTGCCCCCTATCGGGCGAAAAATACGGTACATTTTGGGGCAGTGGCCATTTTCACAATCTCGGCCAAGCTGTTAGTATTGGCATGTGCCACGGCCAACATTACATAAACACACACACAGGCCACACAACTGGCAATGTATAAGCATAAAATTGGAAGGTGTTCCTTGATATAAAACCTGAAATCTTATTTTTCAGCTACAGAGCAGGATACTTAATAGTAAAATCAGCAGCGGTATAATGTGCTTTCAAAGGAGAAAGGGCTTTCAAATGAGAAACAAAACCAAGTATGGCAAGATGCTTTTTGAAACCTAGGCAAGTTTCTGAAGTACTTTGAGACTGTGTGTGGGTCCATACAAGCTCCTGTTTGTGTCTAAAATAACTTCTTGGTTTGTGGCCAGTCTTTCATGAAATGTAGTCACCTAAGGAGCCAGTAACTCTCAATAGTGGAACACGAAAAAGTTAGATATAAATATAACTAAGGAAACGTCTGAGCAAATAATGATAAGGCACAGAATTCCCCAAAAGGAAATCAGTTTCAAGTGATCTAGAAGCTGTTGCCACATAATCTCAAAGATAGAAGTGATAGATGGGCAGGATGCTTCTCAAAAGTCAAACATAAAGATCTTTCCCTAAACCAGGTAAATTCTCCATTCTGCATTCCCCCATCTATAGCACAATATCCGCCCAACCTTTTAAAAAACACTTACGCACCCAGATCTAGTGCGCAAATTACAAGTGGATTAGGGACTTCACTTCCACAGCAGAGGTAGTCCCATATCCAACAATGGAAGTAGTTCCATGTGAAAATATATACCTACAGGCAATGACCATTTTACACTTATTCAGTGTGCGCACGATTATGCATGTGCGCATTGCTGCAATCTGGAAGTGGGCAAAAAAGGGGGCAGGGTGGGACGTCAAAGGCAGGCTTATACACACTTGGGGGTCAGGAATGCAACCCCCACACAAATGGGGGGTGGCCTGTACACATAAGCCTAGTTCAGACGTCATAGTAAACCACACTTAATGGTTTACTGTGAATGCACCAATCAGGGCTGTTTTGGTCCTCATAGGGATCGTACTTCGTTTTGCTCAAACCAGCCATGATGAGTAAGCCAGACAAGCCTTAGGTACAGATTTTGTTTTCTCGGGAAGAAAGCAAACCGCAATCCCTAGTTCGGACATAATGCAGAGCCAGAAGTCATTGTTTATTTCCTCTGTGCAGTAGAAGGGAAGAGCAAAGCAGTCGAGATCAGTGCATTAACAGTAAATCATTAACTACCATGATAAGCAAATTGGGCCATAGTGAATAATGCAAGTTAAGATACAGATCTCTCATTCTCACCTGTAAGAGGGAATGCCTCTTCTGAGGTGGTACTTGCTCTGACACACATACATGTACCAGCTAAACTTAAATAATGTCCTTTTCCTTCAGAACTAGTGTTTCATTCATATGTAAATCTAAACAGGTTTGGTTAATTAAAACTCACCAAGTGACAACCCTAATTAAAATTAGTTTGAAGAAGGAGTCTAGATTTCTGCCAAAAGAAAAGAATAATAAGTTTCATGGTACAGCTACATGTCCATATGGACTACTGCAATGCGCTCTACGTGGGACTACCTTTGAAGGTGACCCGGAAACTGCAATTAATCCAGAATGTAGCAGCTAGACTGGGAGTGGCTGCCGGGACCATATAACACCAGTCCTGAGAGATCTGCATTGGCTCCCAGTACGTTTCCGAGCACAATTCAAAGTGTTGGTGCTGAGCTATAAAGCCCTAAATGGCCTTGGCCCTGTATACCTGAAGGAGTGCCTCCAGCCCAATCGTTCAGCCCGGACACTGAGATCCAGCACCGAGGGCCTTCTGGCGGTTCCCTCATTGTGAACAGTGAGGTTACAAGGAACCAGACAGAGGGCCTTCTCGGTAGTGGCGCCCGCCCTGTGGAATGCCCTCCCATCAGATGTCAAGGAAATAAGCAGCTATCCTATTTTTAGAAGACATCTGAAGGCAGCTCTGTTTAGGGAAGTTTTTAATATTTAATGCTGTATCGTTTTTAACACTCGATTGGGAGCCACCCAGAGTGGCTGGGGAAACTCGGCCAGTTGGGCAGGGCATAAATAAATTAATAAATAATATTATTATTAATACAAAGTTCAGATAAGCTATTAAGGCTGAAGTGGAAGGAGATATTGCCAGTGTGGAATCTGGCCAGCTTTGCAGAAACCACAACCCATACTGGATGTGTGTTTACAACTCAAAAGCCCCCGTTTACCATTTTGCTTTTTAAAAAAGCTTTTGGTGTTCTCTCAGACCAGGGATGGGGAACTTGTGACCTCGCAGGTGTTGCTGGTCTATGACTCAAATCATCCCTGACTGGGGCTGATGGGAGTTATAGTCCAACAGCAACTAGGGGCCCTTTTATAAGAGTCACAAACAACCTGATCGAGGTCAACAGGAAAAAGAATCGAAGGAACAGTGCTGGCTGAAGTAAGCAAGCCTGTGGAGTTTCTTGTCCTTGGTCTTTCCTCTCATTTGTAGGTAATGACATCTGCAATGATAGCTTCGAATCAAATGTGTGTCCTTGCATTCCACTTCTTCCAAACAAGGATGAGGGGGAAAGGCAGAAAAGGGGAGCTGCTATCTCGGTCTGTTGCTCTTATCACAGGCCTGCGGTGGCTGAAGCTCTGCAGCTGGCAAGGCACTGCAGAAAGGAAGTTTAAGAAACTGGCTTTGGCCAGCAGCTGTTACAGTTCCTTACCCCCTGTCACTCATAGAAAAGGGGGAAGGAAATAAGCCTTGAAGAGAAATGAGGAACATCTTTTCTTTGTCAAGGTAGGATTCCCTCTACATCCACTCCACACCCTTTGGCCTCAAATCTGTTATTTCATTTATAAATGCCCGCATAGAGGGGCAGCTTCTTAAAAATTCCTCCATGCCTTTATCTTGATTTGCAATTATGATTTTTCAAAGAGAGATCCAAAACACACACACGTGTAGGCAGTGACCATTTTAAAAAAATGTAAAGGATCCTGACAGTTAAGTCCAGTCGCGAACAACTCTGGGGTTGTGGCGCTCATCTCGCTTTACTGGCTGAGAGAGCCGGCATTTGTCCGCAGTTTTTCCGGGTCATATGGCCAGCATGACTAAGCCACTTCTGGAAACCAGAGCAGTGCACGGAAACGTCGTTTACCTTCCCACCGGAGTGGTACCTATTTATCTACTTGCACTTTTTGTTGTGCTTTCAAACTGCTAGGTTGGCAGGAGCTGGGACCGAGCAACGGGAGCTCACCCCATCGCGGGAATTCGAACTGCCGACCTTCCGATTAGCAAGTCCTAGGCTCAGTGGTTCAGACTTTAGGCATATCCAATTGACATGTGACCACCAATGCACAGGTTCTTTGGGACCCAGAAGAAGGAAGAATGGGGGTGGAACGAGGGGTTGTACGCTTATATGCACTCCACTGACATGTGCAGGGGTCAGGAACAGAGCCCCTGTGAGAAATGGTTGCTGCCTGTACCCAAAACTGTCCTTTCTGTTTTGCTAAAAACCTGCTGCTTTGTTGATACATATTGTGCCTCCCCCTCTCTCTGCTGAACAGTGGCAAAAGCCCATGTGGTCCTTTGGAGAATGGAGACACGGTGGAGACTTTAAGCAACTGCAGCTTTAAGAAATATGGTTTATTAACTTATTTACACCTTCAGTCTGCATAGAGGGAGTCCAGCTTGGTCATTTCAAGAGGGATGCGTTCCCCCACAGCAGTGCAGCCGGCCTTCAGCCATCCTGCCCAAAATGGATCCCAGTCTGCTTCCTCCTTCTTCCTCCCAGCAACCCTTGCTCAAAACTCACACCCAGTTACCCTGGCAAACTTCCAAACCCATTCTTTATTCACATCTCAGATGAAGTGGGTGGGGTGAGAATAGAGGTCCTGCATTGCCAATGGCTCTCAATAGTTCCTTAATGGCCCTGGCTTAACCAGGTTCTTTTGCATAGGCTAAACCAGGAATTCCTCTGCAGCTTATATTTCACATCCCAAATAATCAAAATCCTAGCATTTATTTGATTTCTAGAGTTTAGAGGGTCCGCCCAGTCTAATACAATATGTTCATCTACAGTGTTAACATATGTGCCTGTTTTGAGCAGCAAAAACTTCTGACCCATACTTTACACATTCTTCTGCTACTAAAGTTTCCCTGTCTTCTGTTTTGATGGCCTTGCTTTATGTCTTTGGTTTAAGTGGACTGCCTCATTCACACAGATAAATGTGTGCATTTTCTGTGCCTAGATCACGTTTCCCCACCGGGTTACCTCCAGATGTTGTTAAAACTAGAACACACATCATCCTTGCCCACTGGCCATTTTTGCTGGGGCTGATGGCAATTGGAGTCCAACACTGGGTTGAAGAAGACTGGTCTGGCCAGGCCACTATACCTAAGAGGATGATAGGCAGGGGAAGTGCTACTGCCACCAGTTTTGCAACCGCCTTTCTTAGGAACTGGTCTAACATCCTTGATAGTCTTCATGGACAACCTTAGTAGGAACAGGAAGACTTCTGCACTGTCTGGACCTGTAGAGCAAAAGAAGATGCAACTGGACAAAACGAAAAGGAACAACCCTTCCGCTGCGCCCCAAAAGAGGACAAATAGAGTAGGCATTACTAGTTCATGGGGGAGTGAAAGTTGCTCATTGAGGAAAGCTGACACTCTCTGCAGAGCAGTTATATGGTTCAACTATTTACTTTCCAGAATTGCCTGGAGACTTCAGACATCCTACAGGTGGATGCGGACACAGCTGAAACAAAAGTGTCGGTACAGATAGCATTACAAGCTTTGTCCAATGTACAAGAAACTCCAGCAATGAGACTGGGATACTGCTGCAAAAATGACATTTTGGATCTTTGCAACCGACATCATTAAGCCACTTCATGCAATAATACTTTAGAGATGGGAAACATGCTTAGTTGCACTGTGTGGGGAGGCCATGCACACCTGTTCTCCAACATCCAACCCTCATATTCTGTAAATCTAACCTTGGAAGATGGACATCCAAATATGAATATGACAGTCCAGGAGCCAAGTTCTGCATAGGCTTCCTACATTACGTGAAAGCACATCTCCTGAGTACCCTCGCCTCAGGGAAAATTACTGTGGTGTATGACGTAGCATCCCATGGACTGCAAGGAGATCAAACGTATCCATTCTTAAGGAAATCAGCCCTGAGTGCTCACTGGAAGCACAGATCCTGAAGCTGAGGCTCTAATACTTTGGCCACCTCATGAGAAGAGAAGACTCCCTGGAAAAGACCCTGATGCTGGGAAAGATGGAGGGCACAAGGAGAAGGGGACGACAGAGGACGAGATGGTTGGACAGTGTTCTCGAAGCTACAAACATGAGTCTGACCAAACTGCGGGAGGCAGTGGAAGACAGGAGTGCCTGGCGTGCTCTGGTCCAGGGGGTCACGAAGAGTCGGACACGACTGAACGACTAAACAACAACAACAAATGACGTAGCCCATTGGGTTGCAAACATCTGACAAGGCACAGGAGATGTGTGAGACCCAATATCCAAAGGCATTTATATTGGGAAGCAGGTATGAACTGTTCTTCAATTGGGATTTGTAACCAAAGTTTGGCTGTTGCCAGTGGTTACTTTGCAAGAGGCTCAGTTGACTCCCTCCCGCCACGAATTAAGGAGGCTGATCAAAATCTTCCTTTTAAGGAAGGCTTTTATACTTGTTTTTCTTGCCTTATGGTATTGTTTTACTTTTGTTGTTTCTGTATTTATTGAACCATTTTATTGTTTGGGAAGCAAACTTAAGCTGTTCTTAGCTTTTCTTATTTTATCTGTAAGCTGCCTTGAGTCCCTATCAGGAAAAAACAATATTATAATTATCTAATCATATATTTATATAATAATATTCTGCAGGATCTATTTTTTTGGCGGGAAGCAGGACAGATGCACACACACACACACACACACACACACACACAGGATAGCACCCAGCATCACATCTGAAGCAGCAAGCCAGCTTAGAAATGCCAGAGAGGCTGCCTGGCAAAAAGGAAGAATGGCTGGCAGGCTCTGGAGGAATGGCTGGGGATGCTGCTTTCTGGCCTTTGCTGCTTGAGGTGGGTTGTCTGTCTAATGGTAGGGCCGGCCCCGGCACCCAAATATTAAATGTTTTATGAACTGCATAAGCAAGAGGAGTTGATTCAACCTGTGGAGCATTTATGAGCCTTCAGTTTCAGGCAGGCAAGTAGATTACACTTTTACACACAATTTTCTGGCCTCTGTTATCTTAACTCCATATGTAGATTATCTGAATGATGTAGGTTGTTTGGTCATATCTAAAAGACAAGTGGGGACAACATGGGCTTAGTTCTCAAGCCCCACTCGTATGAAAAGTGGTACACCCCAGTACCAAATCCTCTCCTACTACAACATGATTTGCATTCCAAAAAGATATAAAGGACATGGGAACTGAGGCAACCACATTTTCCTTATCACAGGACTACTGCACATAGTAGTCTTATGTCTAATAAGATAATAATAATTTTATTATTTATACCCCACCCATCTGGCTAGGTTTCCCAGCTTCCAACAGAATATAAAAACATGATAAAACATCAAACGTTAAAAACTTCCCAATACAGGGCTGCCTTCAGATGTCTTCTAAAAGTTGTGTAGTTCTTAATCTCCTTGATGGGAGGCCGTTCCACAGGGAGGGTGCTATCGCCGAGAAGACCCTCTGCCTGTTTCCCTGTAACTTTACTTCTTCTCAGCAAGGGAACCAGAAGGACCTCGGAGGTGGACCTCCATGTCCAGGCTGAATGCTGGGGGTGGAGACACTTCTTCACGTATACAGTGGTACCTCGGTTTAAGTATTTAATTTGTTCCAGAGGTCCGTTCTTAACCTGGAACTGTTCTTAACCTGAAGCACCACTTTAGCAAATGGGGCCTCCTGCTGCCGCCGCCGCGCCAGAGCCCGATTTCTGTTCTCATCCTGAAGCAAAGTTCTTAACCTGAAGCATGATTTCTGGGTTAGCGGAGTCTGTAACCTGAAGCGTATGTAACCTGAAGCGTATGTAACCTGAGGTACCACTGTACTGGGCCAAGGCCATGTACCAGGGATTCCTTATCACTTCCTCTACCACTCAAAAGTTCTGATGTAACTTCTCATTTGTTAGAAACTCCAGGAAAGGTTAAAAAATAACCTTTGGATAGGGACATGAAGAGTACTTCATATGCTGCAGTGATGGCCAAACCTGGCCCTCCAGCTGTTTTGGGACTACAATTCCCATCATCCCTGACCACTGGTCCTGTTAGCTAGGGATGTAGTCCCAAAACAGCTGGAGGGCCAGGTTTGGCCATCACTGATATACTGCTACATAAGTATTAAACATAAGGAGAAGGATGCAACTTCTATAATGTCTTGTTGGAATTCCTACCTCTGCTATGGACTACAATGCAAGTCTATTGCTATTAGTCACCTGATGGAACTTCCCTCAACCCCTAAGTTAGTGCTTTCAAGATAATAGCATTTTCACCAGCAGCAGAACATGGAAGGGATTTCAACGTATTTTATTTTGAAAATATTTAAAATAAAAATATTTTTAAAGGATCAGGCAGCCATCAAAGGATCTGAGTGACAGCAGATGGTTGGTTGGTTGGTTGGTGAGAAGTACAAAAATGTGCATGCAAAGTTTACACAAAGATATGCATTGGAGAATTAAAATGGGCAACGTTTTAATAATCTGCTTAGGGTACTATGATGGGCTAGCCATAGCAGCCTTAACTCTGAGTGATAGATATAAAGAAACGAGAAGAGAAGAGAAGAGAAGAGAAGAGAAGAGAAGAGAAGAGAAGAGAAGAGAAGGAAACTATTATGTACAGTGGATGCTAGGCTTGCGAACGTGATCCGTGTGGGATGCACATTCGCAACCCGCAGCGTTCGCAACCCATGTCTGCATGTCTGCATATGCACGGGTTGCAATTCGGCACTTCTGCGCATGCACAAAGCATGATTTAGTGCTTCTGCGCATGCACGACCGCTGAAACTCGGAAGTAACCTGTTCCAGTACTTCTGGATTTTGGCAGTCCGCAACCCAAAAAAGCGCAACCTGAAGCGGCTGTAACCTGAGGTATGACTGTAATGCAAACAAAATCACATGAAAAACAAGCCCTCTTAGGTCTGGCCTTCAAAGCATATGGATTTGGTCATATAGTTTTCTGCTGATAGATTTTTTTCATCTCATCCCATCCCATCTACCGACTTCCTACTTATGCTTCTAAAAATGTTGGAGGTCAGAATTTTTTTTGAAATATACTTTTACTTGAAAAAGTAGATAGAAGTAGCAGTTCATTCAGATTAAAAATCTTGACCTAACTGATTCATGCTTGTCCTTGAGAAGACCTGAGAGCCAGTGCAGCCTAGGACCCTCGTACCTACGGGACTGCCTCTCCTGGTCTGCCCCGCGGAGGACCTTAAGGTCCATAAATAACAACACTTTGGAAGTCCCGAGCCCCAAGGAGGTTAGATTGGCCTCAACCAGGGCCAGGGCCTTTTCAGCTCTGGGCCCGGCCTGGTGGAACGCCCTACCGCAGGAGATCAAGGCCCTGCAGGATTTGACATCTTTCTGCAGGGCCTGCAAGATGGAGCTGTTCCGCCAGGCCTATAGGCTGGACTCAGTCTAACCGCCCGCCCCCCATTTGGTTTTTTTGTTTGTTTTGTTTTTTTGTTTTTTATGGAACCCCTAATATGGGATTTGTATATAAATTTTCCCTCGGCTCTTTTTGCTGGCCCATGTAGGACCAGCATGGATAGTTGGCCCCAGTGAATATTTGACATTTTTTCCCCTTATGGCTTTGATCTATGGGCTACCACTAAAATGAGGCTGTATTTTAAGCTGCATTTTAAACCGTATTCTAACTTATATTTTAATTAACTTTTTTTGTTTTTAATGTTTTTACTGTACAGTGGTACCTCGGGTTACATACGCTTCAGGTTACAGACCCTGCTAACCCAGAAATAGTACCTTGGGTTAAGAACTTTGCTTCAGGATGAGAACAAAAGCATGCTCTGGCAGCGCAGCGGAAGCAGGAGGCCCCATTAGCTAAAGTGGTGCTTCAGGTTAAGAACAGTTTCAGGTTAAGAACGGACCTCCAGAACGAATTAAGTACTTAACCCGAGGTACCACTGTCTTTATATTCAGTGTTAGCCGCCCTGAGCCCAGTCTTGGCCGGGGAGGGTGGGATATAAATAATAAAAAAATTAACTTAATATTATTATTAGTTATGTTAGAATTAAATTAAGACATTGTTATGGGTTTTATCATCCACATTATCTAAAACATGTTTGGGGGGGGGAGAGGAGGTTCCTTTTTTTTTTAGGTGGAAAAACCTAAGTTTCTCTTAATAGCATAATCGTAACTGCAGGTCAGGTTGTGAACTTTATGACAGATGTTACTAGCGAATGATACAAAGGAACTGTAAAGCAAGACAACATAAAGCTGACGAATCTTATCTCTCTATTATAAATATGTGGGTTGAATATATGTCTCCTTGAGCTACACATCTAAATTATTTCCATTGCACGCGGTGGAGATACTTCTACTTGGAATTATAAGGTAGGTTTTGGCATATAGAATTTTGAAGGCCAGGCCACAGGGATGATGTAAGTAGCACATTCCTATGCATGTTTACGATGAAGTAAATCACACTGAATTGAAAGGGACTACTTTCCCGCAAGTGAGCATAGGATCACAGACTTAAATAAAAGTGCAGGTTTTTATAATGCCTGCTTTTGGGACCATGATTGTGCCTAAAGTAAAGGGGGGGGCGCAATTGCACAGCTTATAGTGCCCAGGTGGCATAAAAAAACAAGGTGGAGGTGAAAGGCAGAACTTGTTCTATAGCACTGAGATTTGTTTAATGAAATGCCCACATTACAAAATGCAAGAAAGATACAAGCAACATGTAAGACATTTAAAAACAAAATAAAGCACAGTTGTTTTTATGTTTGTTTTGCATAGTAATTTTTATACTTGTTTTGACTCTTCCACTGTTACCAACACAAGCAACCCACTTTAAACAACATTTTTAGTGTCAGGTTTTGAAAGCAAACCTGCGTTTTGGACAGAGAAAATCAGGTATATCAGCTAGGCACCAAATGGCTCCTTAAACCAAGGCTACAGTTGCCAAAACAGAATGTCTGGTCACAAGCAGTCAATAGCCAGGAGCAAAATGTGACTGGCACCTGGCTAATTTTGAACACTGGTTTGGAATGCAAGCCAAACAACTGAAAACAGCCACACTCACTGGCTGGCTAGAAGGAGAACCAGTTAGTACAGTAATTAAGTCTTAAGAATGAGTTTATAAGGAGCAATGAGGTATTTCTCAACCCAAACATCATTTTCATTGTTACATATTATAGTATCTATTGACTGCTCTCGGTTTTCTTACAGTGCGCACTGCTAACGCATATCTCCCGACCATCTTTATTTTCTGGATACATTTTCACATTTTGCATGATAACATACAGTGTTGTTATGCCAACCTAGCAGTTCGAAA